TCCCTTTCTCTCACTCCATTAATAGAACTCAACACTCTCTCCTATAACCCATCATTTAATCACTCTCTCCTACAACCCATCAATTAATTCTCACCAACTTTCTGGGCATTTGAAGGTAGAAATTTGCAATTTACTCAACTACCAAGTTGTTAGCATTAATTTCTCATTTTAACCATGACAATTATTTGATAAGTTAGTTAAATGAGTTCATAAAAAAATTTTAATTCGTTATTTTTAGTAAAATGTTAGATAACTGAGGTTTTGTAATTAACCACCCATTAATTTCACATTAGTTATTTCACATAATTATTTTGCACTTCTTATTTCACATTATTATTTCACATAATTAGTTATTTCACATAATGTTATTTCACATAATTATTTTTAGTAAAATGTTATTGTTATGAATTCATAACAATTAGTTAAATATTAGTTAAATTTGTTATAATTGATGAAATTTTTGTTAAATTTGATCTTAGTATAGAATGATAACATGTAAGTATAGCATGAATTACCAGACTTATAAGTATAGCATATTAATATAAGTAGAGCATGTTATACTGTAAGTATAGCACATTAATACTGTAAGTATAGCACATTATACTGTAAGTATAGCACATTAACCTGTAAGTATAACATGTTATATTGTAAGTATAGCACGTTATCATGTAAGTATAGCATGTTATATTGTAAGTATAACACGTTATCATGAAAGTATAACACGTTATCATGTAAGTATAGCACATTAACCTGTAAGTATAGCACGTTATATTGTAAGTATGGCACGTTAACCTGAAAGTATAGCACGTTATATTATAAGTATAACACGTTAACATGAAAGTATAACACGTTAACCTGAAAGTATAGCACGTTATATTGTAAGTATAACACGTTAACCTGAAAGTATAGCACGTTATATTGTAAGTATAACACGTTAACCTGAAAGTATAGCACGTTATATTGTAAGTATAACACGTTAACCTGAAAGTATAGCACGTTATATTGTAAGTATAGCTCGTTATATTGTAAGTATGGCACGTTAACCTGAAAGTATAGCACGTTATATTGTAAGTATAGCTCGTTATATTGTAAGTATGGCACGTTAACCTGAAAGTATAGCACGTTATATTATAAGTATAACACGTTAACATGAAAGTATAACACGTTAACCTGAAAGTATAGCACGTTAACCTATATTTAAATGTTAGTTAAATTTGTATATAATTGATTGATGATATTTTAGTTAAATTTGATCTTAGTGTAGAATGATAACATGTAAGTATAGCATGAAATACAAGACTTGTAAGTATAGTATGTTAATCTGAAAGTATATCACGTTATACTGTTAGTATAGCATGTTATACTGTAAGTATAGCACATTATACGTGCTATACTTACTGGTTAAGGTGCTATACTTACAGGTTAACGTGCTATACTTCCTGATAGCGTGCTATACTTATAGGATAACATGCTATACTTCCTGAATAACGTGCTATACTTATAGGATAACGTACTATACTTACATGATAATGTGCTATGCTTACTGAATAATGTGTTATACTTACATGTTAACGTGTTATACTTACTAACTAACGTGCTATACTTACAAGTTAACGTGCTATACTTACTGAATAACATGTTATACTTATAGGTTAACGTGCTATACTTAGATGATAACGTGTTATACTTTCATGATAACGTGTTATACTTACAATATAACATGCTATACTTACATGATAACGTGCTATACTTACAATATAACATGTTATACTTACAGGTTAATGTGCTATACTTACATGATAACGTGTTATACTTTCATGATAACGTGTTATACTTACAATATAACATGCTATACTTACATGATAACGTGCTATACTTACAATATAACATGTTATACTTACAGGTTAATGTGCTATACTTACAGTATAATGTGCTATACTTACAGTATTAATGTGCTATACTTACAGTATAACATGCTCTACTTATATTAATATGCTATACTTATAAGTCTGGTAATTCATGCTATACTTACATGTTATCATTCTATACTAAGATCAAATTTAACAAAAATTTCATCAATTATAACAAATTTAACTAATATTTAACTAATTGTTATGAATTCATAACAATAACATTTTACTAAAAATAATTATGTGAAATAACATTATGTGAAATAACTAATTATGTGAAATAATAATGTGAAATAAGAAGTGCAAAATAATTATGTGAAATAACTAATGTGAAATTAATGGGTGGTTAATTACAAAACCTCAGTTATCTAACATTTTACTAAAAATAACAAATTAAAATTTTTTTATGAACTCATTTAACTAACTTATCAAATAATTGTCATGGTTAAAATGAGAAATTAATGCTAACAACTTGGTAGTTGAGTAAATTGCAAATTTCTACCTTCAAATGCCCAGAAAGTTGGTGAGAATTAATTGATGGGTTGTAAGAGAGAGTGATTAAATGATGGGTTATAGGAGAGAGTGTTGAGTTCTATTAATGGAGTGAGAGAAAGGGAGAAGAAGAGGGGGGCAGAGAGAGGACGGAGAGAGAATGGAGGGGGGAAATTTACCGCCAGTTTCCCCCCTCTCTCTCCATTTCGTTTATTTTATTTAAGGGGGACCCACTTAAATGAATTCTATAAGTGGGAGGGTATAACCGGAATTTAAGAAAAATATATGGGGGGACCCACTGCTGAAAGTATTGTATTTTGGATTTGGGTTTAAAGACAAATACAAAAAGAAATTTGGACTTAGAGATACAACCAATACTACTTGGGTTTAAAAATAAAGGGAGGTAAACTATTGGACCTAAAGACAAAAAGCCCTAAGATTTTTAACAAGTTGACCAAATATAGAATTAATTTTGTCAAAGGATTTGGTCACTATACTAAAACTTGAAAAGTTGTGATGCGAAACGAGGGAGTAAAAAGTTGTTCGAGCGAACGGTTAGTCTATTTTCACTACTTGTTAAGAGAGAGTCTAAACATAGCTCACCTTCACTTCACAAATTTGGACACGGTATTAATTGGTGCATTCCAAGGGACAGGAATGACGCACAAACATACTAACAGACAGCCTCGTGATTCGCGTTTCTCCTCCCCTGTAGTTGTTATCTATGTCATTGTTATGAAGATAGGTTCATGGAATGTCAGGGATATCAATGACTCCACCAAAAGTAGGCTGATAAGGGATTGTATCCTTCTTTCCTCAATTGATCTCATAGGGAGTCAAGAATCTAAGCTTAACACCTACAGACCTGTTGTCCTTTAAAAAATTGGTAGCTCTAGAATTACTTCTTGGCTTCAGTTGGATGCTATTGACTCTAGAGGGGGTGTTTTGCTAGGGTGGAATGATTCTCTGTTTGATTGTCTGGACTCATACGTAGGTATATTTTTGGTCTCTGCCATCCTCAATCATAGAGCACTCAATTGGAAATTCATTGCCATCTCCATCTATGCTCCTACCGAAAAAACAAAAAGAGATGTCTGTTGGTGGGAGCTTCATAGAATTAAACTCATGTTCCCTCTCCCTTGGGCCCTTTTCGGAGACTTTAATGTCACTCTTTCAGCGGATGAGAGAAGTGGCAGATCTGTCTCCCACTCAAATATTAATAACTTTTACCAACTTATCAACTCTCTGTTTCTCATTGACCTTCTCCTTAACGGTAAAAGATATACTTGGTCCAACATGAGATCTCCCCCAATCCTAGCTAGACTTGACAGGTTCTTCATATCATTAGACTTTGAATCTAAATTCCCATCATCAGTTCAGTACTGTCACCTATCCTCATGTTTAGATCACGACTTCCTCATCTTAGATACATCTTGTGTCCCTCCTAAGCCCCCATTCAGAATGGAAAAGGTCTGGTTCTCCCATCTATCATTCTCATCCTTTGTTACTTCTTGCTGGAATAGCTTATCTTGTAGAGGAAATCTTGTTCAGTCCTTTCACCTGAAACTCAAAATCCTCAAAAGAAGAATCAAGAGATAGAGGAAGGATATTTTTGGCTCAAGCATCTCTAATAAATCCACCTATCTTAACACCATCCATTCCCTCAACATCTTGGAAGAAAGCAGACCCCTCCATACCTCAGAGATCAACCTTAGAAACTCCCTCAGAAATAATCTCTCCTCTCTTGCCAAGCAAGAAGAAAACTACTGGAAACAAAGGTCCAGACTCCAGTGGCTGCAAGAGGGTGATTCCAATACCTCATTCTTCCACAAAATAGCCTCCCACCATAGAAGAAAGAACTTCATTCCTCACATCACAGTCAACAACACCCTTATCTTCACTGAGGAAGAGAATAAATAGGCATTCCTCCAATTCTTCTCCGACCTTTTCAAAGCCCAGCCCAACACCTCTGTCCAATTAGATTGGAGCCATCTATACCCTCAACCACACCCCCTCCTCCACTCTTTAGACAACCCTTTCTCAGAACAAGAAATCAGAGCTGCAGCCTTTGGTCTTCACCCAGACAAAGCCCCAGGTCCTGATGGCTTCTCCATCCTTTTCTATTAATCCTTTTGGGAAGTTCTCAAACCAGACATCTTAGCTTTTTTCAACCACCTCTTCACAGACACGACACAACTACATCTCATCAACCGCTCATTCATATCCCTTATTCCTAAAACATCATCTCCCACTCATGCTTCAGACTTTAGACCCATATGTCTCCTCAACGGCCTTTTCAAAATTTTCACCAAAGTGTTAGCCAACAGGGTAAGCCCCTTTCTCCCATCTTTAGTTCACCCCACACAATTTGCATTTCAGCATGACAAATTTACCATTGACTCTGTTATTCTGGGACATGAGATGGTTAACCAGTGCTTCTCCAAAAAGATCGAAGCCTGTATCATAAAGCTAAATTTTCACAAAGCATTTGACTGTGTTAGCTGGGACTTCCTATTGTCAATCCTTTAGACTAGAGGCTTTGGGCCCAAATGGTGTTCGTGGATTTATTCCATTCTGATATCTTCTACCTCGTCTGTTATGGTCAATGGGTCTCCAACTAACCCCTTCACTTGCCAGAGGGGTCTTAAACAAGGAGACCCTCTCTCCCCCATGTTGTTTCTACTCATGGTTGATGTCCTGTGCAGGATGCTTCACAATAGTTGTGACCACGGGGATCTTTCTAAACTCCATTTGAAGGGCATGCTCAACGACATCAAGTCGTTACAGTTTGCAGACGACACAATTATCTTCTACAAGGCTAATCTCACAGACATTACCAATCTTAAATCTATTTTATATCTCTTTGAATATACCTCTGGGCTATCTATCAACTTCTCCAAATCTAACCTATTCTACAGTGGTAAATCATCTACCAAGGGGCCTCTCCTAGCCAACATTCTCAATTGCTCCTTTGCATCCCCTCCTTTTAAGTACCTCGGCCTTCCCCTGAAAAGAGGATCCCTCTCTAGGGCTGATTGGCAACCTTTGCTCATCTCTCTCCATCATAAGCTCTCCATATGCAAGAGTAAACAACTTTTCATTGGTGGAAGGCTGGTTCTCCTCAAATCTATCCTCTCCTCCATACCCCCTTTACTACATGTCCTTCTTCAAACTCCCTTGTTGGCTCATCAAAAATATTAATAGAATCAGATGTGATTTCCTATGGGGAGGTACAAATGCTAATATCAAACACATTCACCCTGTCAGATGGGATGCAGTTTGCTCACCTAAAGCCTGTGGAGGTCTTGGAGTCTCCAATCTGATGCAGTTTGCTCACCTAAAGCCTGTGGAGGTCTTGGAGTCTCCAATCTCCACTTATTCAACATCTCCCTCCTATCCAAATGGCTATGGAATTGGAGTCTCCAATCTCCACTTATTCAACATCTCCCTCCTATCCAAATGGCTATGGAATTTCCTTGACAATAGCAACTACGTAGGAAAAGTCCTCCAGTCCATCTATCACTCCAACCTGCACAACCCCTCTCCTGTTTATCATAGCTCTAAATTCTGGAAGGATGTTACCTCCTGCTACCAATTTTTTACTGGATCTGTCAAATGGGCACTAGGTTAAGGATCTAGGATTCTCTTTTGGGAAGACAAATGGATAGGAGATAACTCCCTTGCTAGCTTATTTCTCAAGGCCTATCTTCTGGCCTTCTCCAAACAAGTCTCAGCTGAGTCCTCTCAGGGTTGGGTGGGGGTGGGGGGGGGGGGGGGAGATGGTCGTGGAGACCAATTCTCAGGCGACTAACTTCCATACACGACAGAGATCAAGTGCAAGCTCTCATCCAACTACTACATGAATCCAATCTTGCCCCTTCTCCTACAGCTGACAGACCATCCTGGCCAGCTTCAGCCTCTAAGTCCTTCACGGTTGTTCGCGTGGAAAACTGTTGCTTTCTTCATTAATGAGATAATTGTCATCTTGAGTTACAACTTTTCGAGTTACAAAAGATCCGGTCTTTTATAGATCCGGTTACAACTAAATCAAAGAAAATAAAGAAAAATTACAACTCTCCTCTGTGAACAAATCACGAGCTCCTGTTTTGCGGTCGCTCGCTTTGGTGGGTTCTTTGCCTGCGCCGGGGTTAATCCGTGGACCACCGCGCGATCTAGATCCGGTCGGATCTACACGAGTATGCGGGTATTATTCCACGAAGGGAATAATAGCCGGGAGGGATTAATCCACCAAGGGAATAATCGCTCGGATCTCGAGATCTAAGACCAAGCTTAGATCTGGAGTGTAGCCTCGTGTAGATCTCAGATCTGTTCTTTCTTCCTCTCGAGATCCTGCCTTTTCTGACGTGGATGGTCGCCGAGGATCAGATCTGAATGGTGCAAGTCTTCTGGTCTTCAAATTCCGAGTTCACTCTTCAATCCGGCAGAGTTTCGGCTCTTGAAAGTTCGACCCTCCAAAATGAACAACCCCCTCTCCTATTTATAGCCAAGCGTCACTGTGCCCGTGTGCACGTGTGGCCGACCCCCTAGGTGGCCGGCCACCTCAAGGTGGCTCGGCTCATGCCGAGCTCAGCTTGCTCGGCCACCCCAGGGGGTGGCTCGGTTTCGGCCGAGCCCCTCCGGGTGTTGTTCGTTCCGTCATTTTTCCGTTGTCCGGTTCTGCGCTTCGTTGTTGATCTGGACTTGATTCGGTTGTGTTTCTGTTGTGTGGTTGATTGACCTGGAAACGACTCGTTGACTTGATTCCAGATTTGGCAGTAAGTCCGGATCCTGATTAGGCAGTAAATCCACTTCTGAGTCTGAGTCCGAAACTGATCTTGATTCGATCGTAATTCGGTCGAGTCCGCTTTCGGTTGGACGACTCGTTGATTCCTCAACTCATTAGCTTGATTCTGCACGCGGGTGGATTCATTCCATCGCTTCCGTGCGATTCGTCGATCTCGTCGCCTCGTTGGTTTGTCGGTTCGTGCCGAGCTGAGCTAAGGGACCTATAAGCAATTTTATATGCCTACAACGGTGTGATCCATATATAAATTCATCACGGATAGAGGTCATTGTTTTCCATACAACTCTATAGTATGGAATAAGCTGCTGCGTAGCAAAGGTCAGATGTTTTCCTGGCTTCTTAGCCAGAACAGATTGAAAACAAAGGATAGATTAGCAGCTCAGGGTTGGCTGGCAGACTCTACATGTTCCTTTTGCAATGAACAAGAGTCTCATGACCACCTTTTCCTCACGTGCCATTTCGCCAAGCAAATCTGGGTTCCCTGGCTTTCGAAAATCGGTATTGTATCTCTCCTCACCAACATAAACCATTGTCCCTCTATCTGCTCAGACTCGTCCATCCTAGCTCCTATTCGGCTGCTATGGGGCTTCAGCTTCTCCACCGTTTGTTGGGTCCTTTGGAAAGCTAGGACTGATTTCATCTTCTCTAACTTGTCTACCACACCTCAGCAAATCATCAACAAGGCTGTTCACTTTCTTCTTTTCTGGATAGGTGCCTCCTCCTCTAAGAAAGCTATCAAGTTGAAAAATTTCATATCCAGCTCGGGGCTACCCGATATTACAGAGTCAAGTGCAGACAGTAATGGATTTCCAGGTCCTCAAGGGTAGTGGCTTTGCAGATGTTTTGGTTTTGGTTTTGAGGATTCAGGTCCCAAGGGATCGCGAGGAAGACTGGTTATATCTAGTTGTCTTCTTTGGGCACGATGTTTAGTTTTGTTCTTATTTCCGAGACATCTTTTGGTGATTTGGTTTCATTCCTCCATCTCGGAGTCTCTGGCCAAATAACAATCATATATCTTTTGTAAAAGCTTACATTCTAGTTTATATATATATATATATATATATATATATATATATATATATATAATATATATATATATATATATAATATATAGTGAGATTAATGGGTATCCTTGTCATTAGGAGGGGAAATTTTCCTCCTTGACGCCTCTAGAAACACAATGATTGAGCGACATTATGGACGATCCAGCTCCGTTGAAACTTGATCTACCATATTCGAAAACCTCGCAACATATCCAAGTTTGGGGTGAATCCGTCATGCGTTTGACTCCTCCATCAAGCATGTGAAAAGTTTCTATTCATTCAAAAACCGTAAAATTGATACGAGTTGATGAAGGGTCAAAACGATCGACGGGTTCACAGCCCAAACTGTGGTGGTTGAGGTTTAGAATATGTAAATCAAGTTCAACGCGATGGGGTATCATCCACAATGTCGCTCATCATGTAGTGTTTAGAGGCGTTAAGGAGGAAAATCACCCTCGTTATGACTAAGGATACAGCATTAATCTCTCTCTCTCTCTCCTATATATATATATATATATATATATATATATGATAGGTTAATAATACTCTATTTCATTCAAAAAAAAAAAAACAGACAGTGATGCGTCATGCATGAAGAGCAATAGCGTGGGCTCCTCAGAGATTGCACTAAAGCCTCATCACGTAACATCATATCATCTCACACGTGTGATGTCCTTTGAGAAAATTTTGGTGGGGGGCTTCAAGCCATGTGAATGGCTCACTTCATCCTTCTCTATTTTTGGAAATGGAAGGGGCGAGTCCCCATCAAGGGACCTTTGCTTTGTTTGGTCCTTTTCATGGTAATAAAGATCCTTACGTGCCCATGATGGTGGTTTGCCATGCCATGGCCATGCACCTAACCATAATCTCCATGTTACATGTTGGTTCCTCATTGTCATGAATCCAAGTAGGAAGTTGTTAGATCTTAATTAAGCACGCAAGACATGGACCCCTTATGTCGAACAAGAGTGGGGGCTAAATGGTTGAGGTGGGTATATGACCTTTTACGGAATGGTGAGGTTTTATGTTGTGAAGGGCCTTGTTCTTGGGATAGCTATTTTTAGGCCTTTGGTTTGTTTCTATGAGTGCAAGTGAGGTGTTTCAGATGGCATTTGGTCAAAACTAGTGAAGATACCATAGAAAAACTAGTGAACATTAATCTTTTAGCTGATGGATTTGATTGAGTAGAAAGTTGGAACGATACACAAGTTACATTATGTCTAAAGGGCCAAATTATTAAAATATCATCACGTACGATGGAAATCATAAAATACATTTTGCATTCGATTCTAGGTGCAATTTTGTACACGTCCAATCTAGATCCTAATTATATGTATTCTCCATTTAATCCAGATTCCAAGTGAAGAACAAATGTTACATATGAGAATCGTATCTCTATAATGCACATGTGGAATATTTTAATTTGCGCACTTCTTTTAATTTGGACCCAAAATTCATATGGAGCAACTAGCAACAAGTTAATATGTATTATATATTTTCTTAGGATTCCAACTAAGATACATAACGAGAGGCATATAACATTGCCACATGGTTGATCCAATGATTTTAGGTTATAACAAATAATGTATGTTTTGATTTCCTTATTCAGATCCCAAGTGATACTACAAATGCGGATGCATTTTGGATAATCAAAATACATTTTACCCCTTATATAATTGAGTCTAGGATAAAATGGGCACTATTCACGAGATGTTCAATCAGTTGTGAAGACTTGCTCAATGTTTAACTCGCAGACAAATTTAATGATGACCATGAAAATGATTCTTTAACCTCCGCGAATCCACCAAGCAAATACTTTCTTGATCTCCTCATTCCCAAAGAAGAAACATTAATTGATTTGCCAAGAAAATGAGGATAAAATTAACTTGGCAACATTTATAACCCTTTGCTGCTCTTTGGAATCAAAACACGAGCACATGCAACCACAAAAGTTGTAAATTATAATGCATTTTTTGTTTTTATGTGATACATATTTGTGTCGTATAAATGAAGCGCATAAATGAAGCGCATAAATGAAGCGCGATACATATCAAAAGTATCAGTGGAACATGTGTGGAGAACGTCTTTCTACACATGTGAGAATGTATCGTAAAATTTATGACATATAAATGTGTCATAAGGATCATGACACATATATATATCGCAAAACTCACAACACATATATGTATCGAGAGTGGTGATAAATATATGTGCCACAAAACTCGTGGCACATGTTGTTGGGATCCGAGGAAATCCACACAAACGCGAAGAGAAGGTCACACAAGATCAAAATAATACCACAAATACAAATAAATGAATTTTACGTGGTTCGATAAGTTGCCTACGTCCACGGGGCAAGTAGGGGATGGGTTTTCACTAATAGAGAAGGAGAGTACAAATAGAGATTACAAAGTCACTCACAATCTCTCAAACAAACCTCTAAAATCACTCAAACAAAACCCTAACCAAATTGCTCAGAAAACTCTCTATTCTATGCATAAAACAAACCCCTTTTCAACACCCTAAAACCCTAAAATCATGTTTGTATTTATATAAAACACAATTCCTAATCAGAATAGGAAATCACAATCAGGCCAAAACCCGACTGGCGGTCGACCGTCGAAATCATCGTGGTCGATCAGCCAGAATGACAGAAACCAAAAAACTCATTACAGGGTCCATGGTCAACCGCCGAAGTTTTCGCGATCGGCCAGACAGAAAACCAGAACCTACCCTGTAGTGTACATGTTTCCGGTCGACCACACATGTTGTCGCGGTCGACCG